AGAAAAATCGAACATAAAATAATTCTTGTAAGGAGCCAAATCTTCACAATTTCTTCTTCAAAAAGAAAACCAAAAGAAAACGTGCCTTCAAGACAAGACAGAAAAGAAAATCATCAGGTTGTTAATTTTTTATTTATCACGCCGACACATTTTTGCATCCATTATCATTGCTTTTCCTTCAGTTTGTGTAGTATATTCCATTTAGATTTCCTGGTTGATATCTAGGGCGCAATGTTTTCAACACAAGTCGTATTATATAGTTATTTTTAACAGTTACTATGGTTATGCTAATAGGTTATTAAGGAGTGTGCGGTCTAATTTTCCTGATATCGTGCTAGTATTTGTGCTAATATTTGGTCTATCTCTTGGTTTTAAAGCTCGCCCTCAATATTTAATAATCAATATTTACTTAACGTCAAGAAACCTAATCATTCTTCAATGAAGTAAGCGATTGTTCTAGTTTAAAATAAAATTCAGCAATATATTCGTTCACCACATGCGACGCGTGCGAACAAATTATAACAAGAACGTGGCTTTCAACATTTGCACGAATCAAGGAATTTTAATGTGTCAAAATTATGCCATTGTTTCAAATTATTTCATTAGTCTAAATTTTGTTTTTATTGCCGAATGTCACGAACGAAATATAACACGAAACTAACTGTCGATGACAAGTAAGCTTCCCGATTCGAAACTTTTCTCCTGATTACCAAAGATAAGAATTAGCTGTATACAGCTTAAAAAAACGAAGGGAAAAGAAAAAGAAATTTGATGGAAAAATTAAAAATCATGAATATTTTTTGATAATCAGATTCAAGCCAACGATGATTTCTGACTTTTGTAATTGTCATAATAGTTCGATGTTTTTCTTCAATCCTTCAGTTCTAATTCAGGATTTCTTAATCATTTTTTTCTTTTGGTTTTTTTTTTACTTCTAAGTAGATCAGATGGAAAACTCCTTCTCTTCGCTTAGATTTTAATTTTTACGAGTTTCATTATGCGGTTTACGAGACGCCGTTGGAGATCTTTTCCCTGACCAATCAACGCTTGGAGAGGATAGTGGAGCTGCACCAAGACCATATTTTCCTAAAGTTAACTTGTTAGCGGATTGTCTCAGCGGTTTCCGGGGGAGGAGTATCTTTTCACGCTATTATTTTTATTTAATTATGATTAATTTTCCTGGCGCGAATACGATGCTGGATTATTTGCCATCCTGGTCATGTTCTCCTAGTTCTAGCCTGCGTTTTTATTAGCAAAGAGGGAATGAAATTAACTGAAGATGATTCCCTTATTAATAAGACAATTAAGATAATAGCGAAAGTGCCGATAGATTCTAGTCTTGATAACAAAGCGGATTACAAAGGATAAAGATGAACTGAAAACATAAATACGCATTGTTTTAATTGGCGTGTTTTTGGATCATGGCGTCATCTGCCGCACTTCCTTCTTACGGTTTCACCTCTGTTTTGAGGTTTGTGTGGACGATAAAAAAATAAGCTGGGGTAAATGTTTCTATAAATGGTAAACTTGAACACCTTGAAATATCGACCAGCTCATGTTAAGAGGAACACCATGGAATCGCGCGACACTGAATTATTGATGAAGGTTTTTCTGTCTTGTTTTGAAATCATACCGGTTTTAGTTTTGTGTTAGTCGAAAGCATTGATTAACCCTTCGCCTATTGTTTATGAAAATCAGACGGGTGATATCACTACTGCATTAATTTAAAATAGATTTGTTCTTAGGGGCAGAACGAATCCTGCAGTGCTTTCAATTCTACCAGCAACAAAAGGACACTTTTAAAAATTAATCGGCAAAGCGCATCTGTTACGGAATTTGAAGATTTGTTTACATGAGACATTTTTCATCATTAGCTCGTTAATACAGACAATATAAGGTCAAGCTGCCGTAGTGGAAAAAAATATTTTTACTGTCGATTGTAAAAACATGGCAAAACCTTCAGCTTTCGATAATACATGTCGAATCCATACAATGGTAGTCCGAGATATTAGGAGCTGCAGTTTCATTCATACCGGATGCAACAGGAACAATATTGGAAGGGTTTAATTGTACGAAAAGAAGAAGACATGATTGCAATGACGGAGAGCGGTCGACGAATTATTCTAAACGTGCAAGGATGCCGTTACGAGACGTTCCAGGAAACTCTGGAAGAATTTCCTGAGACTCTTCTCGGTTCGGCAGAGAAACGGAAGAGGTTTTATGACCCACTTCGCGATGAATACTATTTCGAAAGAGACAAAGGCGCCTTCGACGCAATTCTATTCTACTACCAATCCAGAGGAATCCTTTCGCGACCTTCAACAATCCCAGCAAATGCGTTCGACGAGGAACTGAGATTCTACGAGATCAAAACAGTGAAGCCTGCTGAGCAAAAAGAAAAAATGATTTATATGCCTGAACGAGATTGGCAGGGAAAACTGTGGGAATTGTTAGAATATCCTGAATCATCAAAACAGGCTGCGCTCTTCTCCAAATTATCAATGGCTGTTATTATTCTCTCTGTTGTGGTGTTCTGTGTGGAGACCATGTATAGTAACAATGCAGCAACGTGGGCGGTGAAATCTTTGTCCGTTCACAATAACACCAAAAATGCAAGTAGCGTCAGCCAAGAGGAGGGTAGAAACCCGAGAAGACCACGAGTTTGGTTTGTGATTGACACTTGTATCATAGTTTGGTTCAGTTCCGAGTACGCCGCCCGTCTGGTTTCATCTCCAGAGAAAATCAAATTTCTTCTGTCCGCGCTGGCGTTAATTGATCTGGCTGCAATAATTCCGTATTTCCTGACACTTTTGTTTGGTAACACATATGCGCCCGCATTTTCGTTCACGGTTATGCGAATTTTTCGTCTTTTACGAGTGGTGCGTCTGCTTAAACTCACACGTTATGTGGCCGCTCTGAGAATTCTGGGGTATACTGTCCGTTCTTGCAAAGAACAGCTAATCGCGTTATTTTTCCTCATATCTATTTCAGTGGTATTGTTCTCAAGTACCATTTTCTACGTGGAGAATAAGGAAAATCGCGAAGACTTCTGCAGTATTCCTGCCTCATTTTGGTGGACTATCATCACCATGACGACAGTTGGATATGGAGACATGACACCTATAACTCCTATAGGCAAAATGGTGGGCGCATTGTGTGCAATTTTTGGGGTTGTTGTCATGGTATGTCTTCCAAGCCCTGTCTTCATTTCGAGTTTCAACGAGATCTACATGCAGCACGTCGGAGAGATGAAGAAAAACCAGCGAAAGTCTTCAAATGGGGTGAAAAGACATTTGGAAACTACGTTAGATCCTTCAAATGTATTCCTGATTAAAAATTTAATCAACGGGAAGGATGATAACACGTAACACGCACAGACATGATAGACAAGCGTTAATTTTTATAAAAGACCCGCCATTATTTCTTGTCTGTCGGGGGGGGAGGGTGCCGAGGTTTTTTTTAGTTGGGGAGGGAGGGGGGATCAGTCGTCGTTAAAGGATTATAAACGGGGGAAGGGGTGACTACAGAAAATGGACTACCAAGGAGGGTTCGTAAAGTGTCTGTATGTGAATATTGCATGCAGCTAGATTTAGGTATTCACTGATTGATATAACAACTGAAAAGCAAAGTACATGTGGCAAAATTTCTCTTATAAGAGCTGTTTTGTTATGTATGCTTAAAGTGTTGCGACTAGAGCAGCTTTCAGTTGGGTCACAAAAGTAATCTGAGATTGCGATAATTTTGCTTACTTCTTACCATGGTTGGTCGAGAAAACTCAGGCCACTTTCTCAACCAATCAAATGCAAGACTGAAACGCTGAAATGTATTTCTCGCGCTTGAGGCACTACATTGTGAACTGTTATCCGTGACTGTATCGATTATCTTAGCCATAGGTAGTTAATACTATATCATTTAACCTAATGCTGTTAAAATGTATCGCTTGATGTCTTCTGTCTCCGTTGAAGGGACGCCTACAAAATACCACTTTGTTTGTTTTATTATGATTTAGTTAAAGATGGATTTTTACTCATTCAACGATGCAGTTACAGTCGACGGAAAATTTTAAGCTCTGTGAATTAAATTATGACATAGGATCCATTGGCAGTTTTCTTAATGCTTTAGTTTGTAAACGGAAGGTAAATTAGGTAAATTTTACCGGGCTGTTTTAAATGTATTTCTCGGATCAATATCAGTATCTAAGAAACTGCCCACCTACCCCTCCCCTAACCCAACGTTAACCCCAACTTGCCATCAATCGACTGTTGTTGGGTTAGGGGAGGGGTAGGTGGGCAGTTGCCCAGATACTGATATTGATCTTATTTCTCTGAATTTCGTGTCCAGCAACAGTGGGCTGATCTCAAGAGAATCAACTTAGTTCAATTTTCTTTGCTTTGCAATTGCCATATTTCAGAGAGATCTTTCATAAATGTGTGAACGCGAAGAAAAAAAAAGGATTAAAGGAGGGAAAGATTTCGACTTTCGATTTAAAAAAAGATTTTTTAAAAAAGCAGTATATTCACTCTAAAACAGCACATTTTGCTATGCTTTCGTTTTCAGGCTGCTCAAACCTCCTTACCACACCTTTCTCATCGATCGACAGCCATATTAAAACTACCTCGACTAACACTGGGTAATAATGCATAATGGTATACAATATTGTTAAAACGACCCGACTATGGAAAATGAAGAAAATTCATAAAAAAAGCACAGAATGCAGGGAAACCAATCGAGAATGATTCCTCTTTGTACCTTTTCGATTTTTCTAAGAAGGCAAATGAACATATGTAAAATGGATATTGAAAGTCATCTGGGACTTAGTTGACTCTGCTATGTCTGAGGCCATGCAGGGATTGTAATGTTTAGAGAAATTCGATACTAGTCCCTCTCAAGGGTTAAAGTGTTGAGTGCCCAATAGTTAGTTTTGCGACTCTTACTCGAAACATCTGTTCTAATTATCTAGCATATTTATTCTGACGTGACTGGGGTTTTTTTCATTATAGTTAGACTTGTTTTGTCCTTAGCTTTTCAATCAATGTGGGAGTTGCATAAGCTCCTTTGCGTTTATTCTGTCTCTTCTTCTCCGCCTCTTTTTGATAGAGACTGCTGAAATGTGTTACAAACACGGGCAACGGTAAAATCAACAGCAAGACAATCCCGAAAACCATACAACAACTCGCAGTAAGTTTGCCGAGCAGGGTCCTGGGGACTTCATCGCCGTATCCTACCGTTGTCATGGTGATGATTGCCCAATAAAAATTTTTGACGATGCTGCTGACTGCATCCTGTTCCTCGAAGTAAAATAGAAAGCTTGAGGATAGAATCACGCCCATCAGCACGCACATCATTAAAGACGATAGCGTCCTCCACGTCTCCGTGAACGTTTTTCCAACAAGTTGTAAGCCGTTGCTATAGCGACTGAGTTTGAAGACACGAAGCACGCGACACAGGCGAATGATTCGGAGCACACTGAAAGAGGTGACTTGCAAATTCATCTCCGTTCGCCAGCCGTAGACAGCTAACGTAATGAAATACGGAACGATCGCCACCACATCCACAATCCCGAACAACGAAGTAACAAAATTACATCTTCTCGGTGCAGTATAGATTCGTATTGTGTATTCCGCCATAAAAAATAAAACAATAGAAGTTTCTACAACAAACCATATGCGCGCAGCGGAGCAGTCTTGTAAATAAATCATGGACGTTTCATTTATGGCAGTCATTTGCAATTGATGACTTGCGTTATTAATTGTTGTTTGTGTTTTATTTCCTGCGGATTGATTCCATTCGCGGTGGGTGTTTCTTATTTTGTCTTCAGGGCAATTGAGCTCTGGCACTGTCTCCAGACAAAAGGCAAAAACTGACAGTAGGATGATACTAATTGAGATTCTACCCCATATCATACCTGCTAGGCTGACCCGAGGATACTCCAACATCAACCAACATCTTGTTCGCATATTTTTCTCACGCTGACTACAATTTAAGTTTTGATCGCGTTGGATTTGCATTTTCAAACGTTGATGTTCTTCGGGTGCTGCCACTGCCTCATTGACAGCCCCAGAGCTTCTTTTGTCCGCTTCCTCTTGATCTGTTGTAATTCCATAGAATTTGAGCTCTTCGTCAAAGTTATCTTTTGATATAGTCTCAGGTCGTGAAAGGATTCCATTCGATTGATAGAAAAACAATATAAAGTGGAATATTTCCGGGTCACGATCTAAGAAGTATTGGTCCCTGACGGGATCGTAGAACTCGACCCGTCTTGTTGGACATCCAAGCATGGTCTCTGGATATTGCTCCAGCGTTGTTTGGAAGGTTTCAAATTGAAATCCTCTCACGTTAATACGAATACGCCTTTTGCGGATCAGACCGGTTACATTGGATCGCTCAAAATTATCAAATGGCGGTGTTTGATGAAACTTCTTGCAACCGTCAGGTACGTGCTCTGGTGAACTAAGGCTTATTGCACTCATCGTCAAAGAATTTCCAAACTCGCCAATATCAGGATAATTTCACAAGAGAGCGATTAAATGCGGCTTTTTTTAACACATGCTGCTTCAAGTATTATCCCCGAGCAGAAGATGCTTGCAGTTCGTTAATGATGATAACACATCTTAGGGTGTTATTGGTTATGTGAAAAACGCGGAATCATGATAAGGTCGCCAACTGTGAAAGCACGACACGTTGCTGGGAAAAACATGTATCGGCAAACATAATCAGAGTAAATTCGTGCAAGAAGCGATCAAATGTTTATTTTAGAAGCCGGCAGGTGTTCATGAGTTTTTCTAAAATCGTGAGACATTTGTTTATCAATTCAATCTACACCAATCTGCCTCACTTCAATGTTTTAAGTTCTTTTGTTACACAGGTCGAGGATGTAAACACAATTTATGTCAGCTTTCGCGAACGGATGTAGATGAATAACTAAAAAACAAATTTCTACTATGCAAGGTCACAGCAATAAGTTTGAATCCTCCGCTGGTATAAATTATATTTTTAGTAATTATCTCGGCAGCAAAGCTGTCAACATCTGAAAGAGAGAAATGACTTATTAGAGAGAGCCACACAATTTATTTCTGCGTCTATTCTAAATATGCAGATCTATTTAAATGAAGTCATAATAACCGTTTTTCTCTCAAACGATGCAGGGTCCTTCAAAATTCATGACAGGTGCAACTCCGTATACTTTCCTGAAACCCAGGGACTTCCAGAGTTTTGACTGGACGAGTGAGTGATTTATAAAGGATGTTAGCTGCTTTCCATGCTTGTATCAGACTGCCGATCTTTTTCTTCCGGGAAAGGTATCTTCATCGGTGATAAATCCCGTATTGACAACAGAAAAAACAAAACAAAACAGAGAAAAAGAAACAGCTTATTGGCTAATTTGAAATACTCTTGTAAGGCTTTAGAAATGGTTAACCATAGCGTCGCTAATTGCTAACGTCTTTCCATTAGTGTTCTGTCAGGGTTTTTTTCCCTCTTCTTAAATTGTTCGTGCGCTTGGTAAGATGAGGATTTTTCAGGCTGCAGTAAAATACTAAAAAGCTTATATTTACGCGTGATACATATCTCACATCTCAAATGAGAAAACATTAGAATGAAGGCTACCCTATTTAATATTGACCTACAAATATATTCCGTGGAGAAAGAAATAAAAAACCATACGACTTGATGTCTAAATGAAATAAAGCGAGAAAAAAGCACTCTCAGGAAAGAACCACGCTCACGTTCTGTATTTGATACTAAGGGCGTTATCAATTGATTGTCACTATGGTTGTTGCTGTGTAGCAAAAAAATGCAGTGTCCATTTTCTTACAGATCAAACTGACGCTATGAACTACAAAAACAAAGACGACACCAATTGGTGTGGATGAATTTTGAATTTCAACTGATAGCCTGATATAAGTATGATAAATATGGATATAAAAGTTAATTGTTCCTATCATGCTTCTGTGATGGAAATTCAATTATTCGATGGTTTTGGATTTGACACTTCATCAGCCCTAAGGTCAGACTATTGGAATTATAGCCGCAAGGCCCTTTTTGTGCAGATCACTGAGAGTAATAAGTGATGATACGTGATAAAATTTTTAAGTAATTGTGCGTCTAGTAGATATCGCTTCAAGACTTAAGATTTTACACCTACTTATTGAATGTTTCAACGAGCGATAATAAAAGCAGTTGCACAAATACAACCGTTGATCATGAGTTTTAACGCGTGCCTTGCACATACCGGCTGTGCTTTACTTCTCACAAAAGGTGTAACTTGAAAGCGTGCGCAGCCATGTTTGAATTAGAGTTAGAGTGGATAGTAGGGGCAGGGAGTGGGGAAAAGCAAGAAGACTATTGCCCCACCCCCTCCCCACTTCTTCCTTTTGACTGTCGCTCACCCCTTTGGTAAGCATTTGTTTCGCTCTCGACCCATCTCTTCTGTGTAAATCAAAGATATCAGCTATCATTTTTACGAAGAAAATACCGAGAAAACCCTCGCTCACCGAAATTAGGCTTACAAAGGTTGCAAAGCAATTAAATGCCCTCACCCCCACTGAAACATATGGCCTGCTTTGTTTTAATGGCGTCTCGTTGCCACTTTGAGGTTTTTATGAAAGCACTTTCGATCTAGGTTAGGAGAGGATATTTTTGATTCGACGTTTCGAAATCAAATTAAACCTACGGGTATCGAAGGTGGCGTGGCTCGTTATTAGTAACTCATGGCGTTTACTAAAATGGTCACAAGTGATCTAGACACCTTCTCCTGACATCCCGGCTTGAGCGAGTCAACCCAATTTATTTATTCATTTATTTTAGATTAAAAAATAAATTGTATTCAACGAACGTAATACAATAGCCAAAGTTAGGCTGAGGCGGAACGTTTCCTACAAGGTTCGGAAAATACCACGCAACTCGCAAAATAACCGTGCGTATCAAGTTATATTTTGACCATTGAATAGGCTGCATGTATTGCCTGTCTGATAATCTACCTTCACATAAAGTGAAAAAAAAAAACAAAACCAGGAGCTCAGTGATGGACTCCTGACAAAACAGATAACGAGACAAAAAAAACAGGAAAATTAAAATAGAAGAAAAAAATCAGAATAAAAAAAAGACAAAAAGGTGAGCTTAAAAGGCTTCTTGGCATAAGTATCATCGTTAACTGTGTCTATATAGGGGTTGAGCTGTTGTGCCAGCTTCGAGCGAGAAGAGATTGGGACGAGACTCACGGATAAAACAGGGTGTGTCTCAGGAGCATCGTTAGCTATGTCACGCCATACGGTATTGTGCGTCCGCTTTCTCTTCGCGCATCTACGACCCTCAGGCTCAATCCTCATCATCTCATCTATTTTTTCTATGCCGTCTCAATCTTTCCTGCGATTAATAATATTACGTTACGTAATTGTTAAGCAGTTCATGACAGTCACGCAAGAACCGCGACAGGTTTTGCTTATGACTGTCATGTGAACAAAAAGTGAAACGTAAACTGTCACGGTCGTTTGCAAAATAGCACTTTGTTTACTAAAATTAAAATTCATAAAAAGGGAAAATAAAAATGAAACAACTAAATTTCCAAATTGTGCGTAGTTCTTCAATCAGACACGTACCAACGTGCATTCGTGCCCCGTTCATGTCCTGGCGAGAGAAACAGAAATAAATGATAATATCCAATTCTTGGAAAGATATTGATGAGTTATTTGTTTTTATTTTTGTAGCCGTGTTTTCACGTTTGATATGCGGAGTTTGATCATTCTCTACCACTTCCAGTTTTTTTTGGGTCAATTAGGTTATGATACCAAGGTAAGGAATAATACCGATGACAAAGATCTATTAAATATCCGGTAAACATTGCCCTGTGTGAACCATTTGTTTCCGGTTCTATTTCGCACCGTGACGAATTTATCATGAGGAGTGGTGGCATGTGATTTGCTGCTATCAAAAAACGCTATATGGTGATAATTTTATCTCCATTGTATTTTTAAACCAAGGATTCTTTTTGTAACTTGGCTTTCGTCGTTTGTAGCCCGTCTGGTCGTTAGCGGTGGAGAATGTGGTTTCCGCCCGAAGAGGGCGCAGAACTTTTCGACTTTGAGCTTGAACCAGGAGGAGGTGACGAATGGGGATATAGCGACCACAACGAAGAGCTAAGACGAGTAATTCTATATTTAGTGCGCGAAAAAAATTCTATGCTGGTGAAACTCCGTGGACTAAGTGCCTTGCGAGGTATTTTGCAAAGCCTTTGCACAGAGCCTAACCGCGAACACGCAATCTTCTTTGAACGCGCTGGTGAAATATGTGCTGAGGATTCTCTTGTTTTGAACGCGGACGCCGGCCTCCAGCTTCCGACTCGGAAAGCTCACAGAAGTGAAAAATTGCACTGCGACGAGAAATCGGTGACTTTTAAGCACGACAACACGAATTATGTTTATGGAAATACAGACAGTTCGACGGTGAGTTGTTTTGTTCTCATTGACAAGTGTAACCCTATCCCTCACTAGCGAGCATGCTTGTAATGTTATTGTGATTTGCAAGGCCTCGGTTGGTTATATTTGATACCCTGTGTTAGCGACTCACGAACTGAAGTGGCCTTTTGTTGACGTTGTTTGACTCGTCGTGTGAATGCTCGCTGCGATATCTCCAACTCACGGAATCGATTTGCCACGTGGTGTTTACCATTGCTTGGTCACAAATCTTGTAAGTTTACTTTTGTTTTGCAAATTGTACATTCACTGGCTGCTTGGCTGATTTCAGCGATTTCCCCACGCCTACATTTCTGACTCCAAACGCTGCGCTCCGTGCAGTGCAGACAGCTCATTTCGATCGACGTCTACGCCATTCTTTTGCAAAAATCACCCTCGTATCGACAGCAGAAGCTAAAAATTAATGAACAGTGCGACATCATGACACTAATTTTGAGCTGGACGACTCCTTTCGTGAATGGTGAGTCGGGCGCTTCTTTGTTTCCGCGTGTTGACTATCGGTTTGACATGTTTCGAGGTGGAGCGCCTTATTTCCTTCTTTGTGCAAAACCAATCGCCATATTATGTTACAACAAATTTTTGCCGCGGTCGCAATTCATTTACCCTCTTATAACCACTAATACTCTAATACATAATTACAGGTTGCGTTTAGAGACGGTGTCTTTACAATTCCGTTGGTGCGTTCAGAGTAAATTAACCGTAATAAACTATTATTCATGCTATGCACCAAAGCGCCGCGATGTTTGCATCTCGGCGATCAAGGCCGCCTATTAATCGTTTAACAAGGCTGATCGTTTTCTTTCCCTTAAGAGGCCATATTTCTGCTATTTCGCTCGTGGGTTTTCTCTTAGAACTGGAGCTATCCATTCAATGCATTGTGTCGACAAGACCTACAAATTGACTAAACGAATAGCTATTGTTTTCGGTTTTCATTTGATCGCGTGCCAAACATCTCTTCGCATTGTGTAAGCGGATGTCGTTTTCACGCAGTCGTAAAATTTGGTACACAACGGCTGCAGTTTCCAGCTTAACTCATCTCTGACTCTTTGGAAACAAATCGTATTTTCAGCTTCATGTATTATTGCGTGTCTGGCTGATATTTTATTCACGTTTGAACCTGTATGTCGTGATTTCGGTGAAATTCGATGCCAGACTCGCGGTTTTTCTTTGAACGGCTGTGTCTGTTCAGCTTGTCTGCTTTTCGATGTAACTTGTTTTTAAATTCAATTTGCTGGATTCTATTTTTAAAAGTTTTCAATGAGTTGGAGTGAATACACGTTCGCGGAAGTTTTGTAAAGTGTGTAGCGGACTCGTTGCAAGAGAAGTGAGATCACACGATATCTGCTTGCTAAAGATATTATGTTGTAATACAAGTGGCATTTAGGGGTCTTGGAATTTTCTTCATTGTCTGCGAAACTTTTTCGGCTATATTAGACGTTTCTGTCAAATCCTGACCTGCATATGATCTTTTGATGATTGCTAAGTTTTGCCATGGTATTCAGACATTACAAACTTAAAATTCAGATAGTCCCATAAGCAACATGGTAACATCAATTGCTAAGCTCCTGCGGCGATATTAAATTTAAGCCCTTTTTTATCCTAAAAAGGTCATCTTTGTAGAAATACTGTAATGTAGCGATTTGATCTTGGAAGATTTTGTGACTGCTGGTGTTATTTAAATCACAATTTCTCTAAGAGACTGAACAGCAGCAACTGATGTACACTTCAAAATGATCTCCTCTGAGATGATCATGATTTGAATATTTTGAAGTTTATGGCTTTATGCTTCAATGACTCCTCTCTCTGTTAGATATTGGCATAAACAAGTTAATATTTTACTATGGAAAATACCACAACATACCAAAATATTCCCCTTAATTGCATTCTTTGCTAGAACTTTGATGAACAATCAATGAATATTTCTAATTTCAGTAAAAAGCTAAATTCATAATTAATTCTATCCACTTATCTTTGATAATTGAATTTTTTTTACATTTATTGGCATTACACTTTTGTTATTATTGTTCATAAACTAATGGGGTCATTCTTAGTTTTATTGTGCATTTTAACCTTAAAACCCCTAAGAGTGACTAACATATAATTTTTCCACACAATATCACCCCTAAATCATACATTAAGGTCCAAAGCATAAGGGATATAAAATAACCAACTAGAGTTGCCCCTGATTATAAATCAAATTCTCCTTTTCAGCATCATAGGAGATGTATAGAGAACAGTGTGGGGAACTTGCATGCTAATGTTAAAATGTAAAGGGTTAATGAACCAATTTACCCCCAGAAGATTTAACATTTAATCTGTGACTTATCCTTGGAGTTTCAATATACTTTCCCATAGATACACTTACACCTGAATTTTAAATATCAAAATTTAAGCATAGTTTTAAATTTGAGGTCTATTAATCAGGTTTTTCAAGCAGATTGCAATCAAGATGTTATAAAGTTTCATATCTTTGTAATGTCGAGGAGCTATGAAAGATTGAAATTCTTTTCCATGTATCATTTAAACTAATGTAATGCACTCATTATTTCAAGATCACTGTGTCACTTGTACAGACTATATTTTCTATTCCTTGCTGAACTAATTCTCTATTTGTTTATCAATATATATATATATATATATATATATATTATCAGATGTTTTTGACTTGATGCTTTAGTGCCACCATCTGATCTGATTAATGCAGATGAAGATCTGAAGTAGATGTAGGTGCTTATGTACAAACAAATTTGGAAGCATAGCAGTGTTTCCTTTTTTCATGTAACACCAAAATTAAAACTTTCTTAATTCATTTACAAAGAAATGTACATGAGCTACTGTACAGGGAAGAACACTATTGAGATATTTGGTTAGACAAATATCATGTTCTCCTAGCTCCCAAACTCTTTACATTTAAACATCAGTATGTATATTCTCCATACTGTTCTGTTGACATTTCCAGTATTTGTGGTCAAACAATCAAGAGCTTCCTTGGTTAGGAATCATTTTAGTCATTCTCATGACTTGAATGTTTTATTCAGAGGTGATATTTTATGGATAATTTAGAGTGAAGTCACCTTAGGGGGCTGAAGGAATAATAAAAGAAAAAAGTAAAGTGTATAAACAAGACAAAACTGCATGGATTATTTCTTCATGCACCCTCTTAAACTTTGATTTAGAAAAGACTGAAGTACATGATTTCTTGGTTAAGGTCAACCTTGCCAGTTCATTCTATTTAGTTTAGTGATTACCATTGCTCTCCATGCTGTTTTTCACACACATCCTAAGGTGATGATGAACAAAATTTGTTTAAAAATCAAGGCCATCTATAATTGATAATCATTTCCTTAACTCTTATAACCTCAATGTGTAATTCATTGATAATACTATTAGGAGAATTTACCTAGATGCTGGTCACTCTTTTGGATCAAAGGATGAAAAGATAATTGTAGCAATCTTTTAAAGAATGGGTTTCATATGGATGTTTATAAAGGAGATTTGTTAGGGTATGGTGATTATAGCCAGTGCCAACACTTTAACTCCCATGAGTGACCAAGACAGAGTTTCTCCTTACAATTTCAATAAAATTTCAACCAGATAAGTGTTGAGAATAAAGAAAAATATCAATTTGGGGATAATTAGTTGATCTAATACTAAATTCTCTGAACTAATATTATAAGACTTGTTATGGTTGACAGTAAGGAGAATCGCAAATTTGATCTGGGAGTTAAAGGGTTGAAAAGAAATCATCATGTTTAAAATAATCAACCTTGTTAAGATCGTTCAAAATGTATACACTGGTGATGCTCTTTGCTGATAAATCAAATTATCTAGTTCTATAGCATTGCTGCAATTTGTTTATTCTTTGTTTTAACTTTTTTCTGTTGTTTTGTTCAAGAATACAGATTTGATCACAAACCTACTACAAGCTAATAAAGAACTTCAAAAGCAAGTCGGGTTATTGGAAGAAGTAACTCGTGATCAAGAACCAAACGGAAACTGTTGTGAAAGTGAGTGTTGAGATAAGAATAAGTTATGGAAGACCCATGCAGTGGCTTATTGTTTGGTGCATTAGATTGTGGGTCGAGATTTCTATGTTTGAGCCCTGCCCTGGCTATGAACCTGTTTTGTGTCCTTGGGACAAAGTCCAAAATTCTATTGGGAGTATAAAAATATATGGGTAATTTGGTATTATCAACTGAGTTAAAATAACATAAATTGGCCACTGTAAAGAGTTTAAAAGTTAATGTATTGAGTGTTAGCCTTTGGTCAGAGCTTCCTGATACACTCTCCCTCTTACAAAGTACCACACTTTCTTTAGAAACTTACCCCCTTTTAAAATATATGGGGCATCAAAACTGCAAATTGAGAAAATGCAATCACAGAGAATTAAGAAACATTGGGTTCATGCTCAGCTAGAGAAGAATTTAAGTAAATAACAAAATTATGAGCCATTTTTTTGGTCTGCTAGGTACATTATTTAGCAAATTTTGGTAAATGCAAATGGTACATCTGTAAATGTTTATAGATGTGCACTTGCTCTGTGATATTTATTCTTTGTTCTCTATTGATTGATTTATTTTTTATTACCATACTGTAGGGTGCTCAACACTTTTCAGATCTCAGCTTGTGCAGTACATATCCAAGACAAAAAAGCTAGAGAGGGCCCTAAGAGCAAAAGATGTCCTTTGTTCTGCACTAGCGGAAAAACTAGATGTTATGAAGGACGAAAAAACCTCAAGGTCAATTGGGAGAACAAACATGAACAACAGCAAGACAAATGGGGGAGATTGCTCTCAGCTAAAGGACGAATGCAATGGTTGCAGCTGCTCTCATGACCAAACTGCAGAACCCTCTCGAAATCAAACAAGGAATTTTCAAAATGAAGGAACCAAGGATAAATCAGATCAGTCTGTGGCAAATGGTTGTGTTGTTTGTTCAAGTGATGGGCAAGTGGTTTTGAAGACCAAGTTTGAGAACATGGAAAAAGAAATGAGTCAAGTTACAGAGAAAATGAATCAAGTTTACTCTGAGAAACTACAAGTAAGTTAATTGAAGTTAAGAACTTCTTTTCTCCCAAGCATCTCAGCAGTCTAGAATATAAATTCCCCCAGTCTGATTGGCTAATTTCGCGCATTCCAGCAGTCCACACCGCTCTTAGTTTTGCAATGTGCTCTTTTCAATCGGTTCATGAGAGAGACTTTAAGATGCAAATTTTCGTGGAAGAAAAGTCAATATTTACACACGCCATTCACCCGTGCAGCAAACAAACAAACAGACATTCAAAACTTTAAAACATACATTTGAATTTACGTATGATAACTCATAAACTTTCCATGCCATTTTTAACTGACCAGAGGTAAACCTTAAAGGATCAGTCATCATTATTGAAAATGTATAATAAAAGTTAGATCATTGACTGTTTTTGAAGACAAAATCGTTGTGATAGTCCTCTAACCCGGGTTTTTACTGCTGTTCAAAAGTGTACGTCTGTCTTGAGTACTGCACTCGGCCTACGGCTTCGGGCGGTATCCAAGACCCCGGGCACAGTTTTTCCTAATACGGACCTTCCGACTAGTGAATATCATACATATCTTAACATGGGGACTCAGAATTATTTCTTTGTCCCTCGCTCGTGACAAGACGAAAAAACATCTTCCTCCATATCTTAATATCTCAGAGATAGCTGTTTTTTCGTCTCGTCACGATAGTGGAACAAAGAAAAAATTCAGAGTCCCCATGTTAAGATATGTATGATATTCACTAGCCGGAAGGTCCGTATTAGGAAAAACTGTGCCCGGGGTCTTGGATACCGCCCGAAGCCGTAGGCAGAGTTCATGAGGAATCGACCCTTAGACCTTAGAATTCCGCGCTCCGATGCTCTTCCACTGAGCCACAGAGACGCCGGCTGTGGTGAGCAAGGCCCATTACGAAGTTCATATATAACAAGTGTCCTCTATGCTGCTAGGATCAGCAATGTCGATAACGTCATGTCCATGTTTTTTTTTTTAAGAATGATCTTGTATGTTGTTTAGATTTGTTTTTCGCAAAGAGCATCACTGATTCGTTAAAATTTTTATGTTGTAGTTTTGTTTTGAGTCCATAATGTCTCTCACGATTGAGGGAAACAGTTGAAGAAACAACCAGCGCTAGAAAATGAAACTTTTATAATCGGGATCATTTCAGTTGTATCTACTCGCGGCTCAATTATTCATGAGCAAACCCAATAAGAATGGAAAAGGAAATTTAAGGGGAAAATAGAAATGAAACCACATGTAACGAGGTGATGGATTCACTTACTTTGACGCTGGATTGGAAGCTCTCCAAACGAAGTACGCAAAATGATTGCTATCATTTCAGTGCAAAGATTTCAGAATATAATGAAAGTCCACAATTCCCCTTGAGCGCCACATTAGAGTGCGCCAAATTTTTCCCGCCTTCCGATACGCTTGCACATCCGGGCATTTTGACAGGGTGACCAATCAAAACAAAGCGCGGGAAACGCGGGGATGACTTTTTAGTCAAGATTTTTTTATGGCTTTATTTTTGCTAGTTTGGTCGGTAAACATCTCAGAAACAATTTTGAAGTCAGTTTTTATACTATTACTTTTCTTTCCAGCTGGAAAAACGCTTGAAGGAATTGCAAGAAAGTCGCGAGAAAGATGAAAACGAGTTGCGTGGTGAAATAAACCAACTGCGACAAGAGAAAAGGCAGCTACAGGAAACAGTTGTACAATATCAGGCAAATGAACAGAAGCAGAAACACGAATATGACCAATTACTGTACCGAGCTCAGGAAATGCAGGAAATCCTTGAGAGAGAAACACAAGAAAAGTTCGCTTCTATTGCTGAACAGAAATCTTTGAGGCAGCAGGTCGAGAATCTGTCTAAAAACATGAAATCATTGCAAGTAAGCTTTTTGTATTTCTTTGTCCGTTTGTCTGAATCTAATGAATAAAAAAGGTAAGTTTTAAAGAAACTGTGGTGCTGCGTCGATGGAAGAGTAAAACAAGGTTATGTAGTATTATTAGCTGAGTTGATAACTTAAATTGGTCACCGTAAAGAGTTCAAAGCTGACGTTTCGAGCTTAAGCCTTTCGTGATAACGAACGACAAAGGGCTAACGTTCGAAAAGTCAGATTTGAAACTCTTAATGGTGGCCAATCTACGTTATCAACTCAGTTGATAATACCAACTTACTTTATCTGAATGAAAGCCTCCTCAAAGCTTTTGCAGAGAAAGAGGGTCAGATAAATTATGCCGGCATAATTTAAGGCATAATGCTATAGTCAGAGCATCGAGCATATGCCAGCATTATGACAGAACTTCTTAAAAATCCCCTTGAACTTATAGTTCAACAAGAGATAAAATCTGTAACCTGGATACCTTCAATAGTGACATCAAGCCAAGCGGGGAGAAACAACTGAGCCGTTTCAAAATGAAGCAGGTGTTCTTAATTGATTCAGACGCTGATTTGGTTCGGCTCATATAAAGCTCCGCGGCTCATATAGAACTCCACGTTTAATTCATTTGTTTGACGGGCGTGCCACTTCATGGTCTGAAGCAACTGGCGCGCCATTCAGTATTTCCGCAGAAGCCTTAAACAACAAGACTTGTTTAAGTCCTAATGATTCATGGATCTTGCTTTTGCCAACAGGTTAAAAGCGAAGAATTTGTCCGATTTCACTGCGATCAGGAGGATCAGATTGACGACTTCAAGAGACTGAAGAAACATATTCACGACAACGGTTTGCCTAGCATCGAACAGTTAATTGCTCTTCAGAGACAGGTAAGACTACGAGTATTCTTCTGTTCTGTCTGAAGCTTGCAGCTCTGATTAGTAAGAGTTAAACCCCTGTTTTCGTCTGACCCTTAAGTTCCTTTGCCCAGCTCCCCAAAAGCGGTTTCTCTCTTCAACCATTTAAATACTTCTTTCTGCGTAAAAGACATTAAATGACTACATGCCAACTACGTTACCTACTTGAACTTATTTTCAGTTTCTCGTCATCCTCTTTTTTTCTTCATTCACAGAACGAAACATACCGTGAAGAATTTTTGAACGAAAGGAAAGAGAAAGAGCGTGCCTTGTCTCTAAAAGACAAATTGAAGAGAGACCTGGAAAACTATCAATCTCGTATCTCTTCCCTTCAGGAGCAGGTAAGAAGTGTACATGCCGAAAACTTTTTTAGCGGCCAGCGAGCTTCTCCAGTACTCATCTAGTGCATTTCCAGCACTTGTGGTGGGAGCCCCATATTGCCAGCGGATCGATGATAACAGTTAACAAAGGAAATTTAGGAAGCAATTTTTTTATCAACATTTGTGCGACCAGTGGTGATTTGATCTTTGAATTATCCTTTTTAATAATTAGAATAAAATTGAAGAATATGTCCGATATTCGGTATGCACCATATAGCCACCTCCTGGCCGAAAAAACAAACAAACAGAAGAAGGGGGTTGGTTTGAAATTTTAAATGGTCATGCATTCCCAAACTTAACTAAATTCATTTTTCTGCTACATTTCGAACCAATTTCAAGCAATGTAACGTTGCTTGTTTCCTTGGTAGCCTGCCTGCGGCATGTTCAGAAAGGGTGTTGGGGGGGAGGGGGTAATGAAGTGGAAGGGGATAGGAGAAATTACTTCGAGCCCAAAGCCCCCCCCTCCCCCCAGCTATTTTACCATTTGTAACTGACAGTTTCGGTATTCTTGCTTTTGCCTAGGTCTACAAATACCGAGAGCACATCTACTTCTTGCAGCAGAAATTCAAGCAAGAAGGAACTGGTAGCCAACCCGTTTCTCCTATGTTCGACATGCCGGGGCCTTCTCAGGGGAATAATCTTAGCAGACTGTATGGTAGCACTGCTACACAGTACATTAATGAGATGTTGCTGCAGGGTAACACCCCACCGAAGTTCCCTGCGTCACCGATTCCGGATGGGAAGAAGCCTTTAGTAGGAAAGCATAGCGATGGATCCGGAAAACCGTGGCAGTTCCAGCAGGTTAGAGATGAAAACGTTAGAAGACTAAATTACAACATAAAAACAAACAAACAAACAAAGAGACATGTTAAGTTTTGACAAAGGGTTAAACATCGAAACGTCAGCTGTAGAAACACTCAACAGTGGCCACTATGCACTGTGCACTATCAATTGACCAACCAAATGATCTTGCAGTACTCCCCTCTCCTCCCCCACTTAGTGCCCTTGCACCCGTAAATATCCCGGATGTGCACACACTTCTGCGCGATATGACGTAGCATGACAGTTTCTTCAGAAACATGCCCTCTTTAAACAAACGGAGTTGATGACTAAGCGACCATCTCAATGATGAATAAGTTTCTCAACCTTAACAAAATATTAGTACTTTTATCAACAAGCAAAGACGCAAATACAAAAATACTAATTCCTTCCAAAAATAATAACCCAACAAATAATCAGACAGACAGTTTTAATCATTGAATGTTTTCATTGGTAACAAAACAGTTAATTCATGACATCTTAAAACTGTCCAGGGTAATTATGGTCGATACGGCCGTCAGATGTCGGCTGAGGAGTGGAAGTCCCGCGTTCCAAATCAAGGTCAAACTTGGGACACATTCCAATATGGCTCAAACCAGTCCCCCGGTAGGCTATCCTCTGCTGGCAGTTTGTCCTCTGTACGCTCTGGTTCCTCTTCGTCAGAAGAAGTTCCAGTCGAAGCTCAGATAGACGGTAGGACAGCGTTTGGTATGGGAGGAGTGGGTGGCCGAAGACAAGGCCCTCGACCCACGGGACTACCCGATAGAGCATTGGATGAGACACGTGGAATGCAACAGAATTATGGGTAGGTACACTTCGATCTAAAATCTGAGCCGAAGGTTAAGACCAGATAGATAACGTAATTAGTACCTTAAAGGCTCGATTCCACAAACTTCTGTTTTTACTAGTAGAAGTAACTCATACTGAGAGTATGTAACTTATTTTTGGTACCGTATTTATTTCCAGAGCCCCATCTTCGTCTTTTGAGGCGTGGTCACCAAAGCCCCAAGGTTATGCAATAAGAGGTCAGCGGCGCTACTCATCTCCCACGGGCAGTGGCGTGCGCTCACCAACCACTGATTACTGGTCGTCCCCGCAACATATGGGGGGGTTCCAACGCTCTTGGCAGTCGCCAGCTGAGCATGTACAGTATTCAGATTCCACGCAGGCCCCTATGTCTTCTGGGTTGAGGCCAACCGCAGAACCCTGGCCACCAGCGGTCACTACGGTACCCAGTAGCAGTCATACGCAGTCGACGTTGACAACGAGCAGTCAAGGAGATACAATGACCTTTATTTCAGGTGGGATGGGTATGCGGTAAGACGAGTTAGGAAATGCATCACGCGCCGTTAAGTCATCTTCTACAGTAGAATCAGTTAACTAGCTCTACAGTCTGAAATTGGCTGCCTTACTTAACTATACCCCACTGAAGTGAAGCGGCGTTGCGAAGACGAAGCAGATTTTTAGGGAAAATGTAGTCTTAGTAAAGGAAATTTTCTTTATTTTGCACCCATGTTTGGGATGAGTGGTTCGTAGAATTATCATGGTACGGTGTTTGGTAATGAGGTAGCTGAGGTAGTAATTTAGTTATTACATTTAGCTCGAGTGGTGAAGCTAAAGAGTAAAGTAAGTCCACTTAAACGAAAAAAAAGGACTGAACGCGGAGGCTAACGAGCGAAAGCGTTTTGGTAAATTTTGTTGCCTCTCATGGCAAACCAACTGAACAACATGAAATGACGCTTTTTGATAAACAGGATGAGAATGGTTTATTTTCCCCCCCCCCTTTTTTTTCACTTATCATTCCTCTTTCCTGTCGGTCCTGATTTCTATGTCATAAAATCATGTGCTTGTGAACCACAGATTGTTGTGAGCCCTCTTGATACTAACGTATTCCAGGATCTTACACAATGGAACGCCAGAAAGAGCGAGCAGGGGAGCAAGTGCGTAATGACCGGCGTGTGCGCTAGTTAGAGAAACGGCTTCATTTTCATTTGCCGATCGAGGCACGCTCGCTTGTTTTGTTGTTTTGCGTCTTTCCACTTACCGAGAGGCTTAAACGTACTTAGACGATACTTAATGAATAAGGGAAAATAAGTTTGGTTTTAAACAAAGCTAGATGAATTGTCGATTGAAATAGCTAGCATCTTCTCCTTCGAATGGACGACGCCTATTGAAACGAGTTCTTTTGCAATTTGAATAACCTTTTACGAAGGTTGCGAAGTAAATACGATTGTAAATAAGAAATGTTTTGTTGCATTATCTAATATGCTCAAAAATGAAAATTGATTTGTTCACCATTACGCTTATTTAGACAAATTGACCAGAAATAATTCCAGCGAGGTTTGTAAATAGGAAAGTTCTAGCCTTTCTATTGCACGTTTTGTTGTACTTAGTTTGCGCTCGACTGAATTTCTAATCAATTGCTGATAATTTAATTGCGAACAGTATTTACGTTAAATATTTAGTGAAATGAAAATCATATTCAAATATCGTTATTCGTAAAGAGATTTATTTTTCCTTTGCTTGAACATAGTGGATATACTTATTTATCACAAGGATGAAAAAGCCAAACTATTTGTTGAAATTTCTTTGGAAGTATATGAAGTGTTAAAATTAGATAAACCAACATCAGTCTATTTAACAAGATGAAATTAGTAAAATGTAGATAGAAGACAAAGATTTTTCGTGGAATTCGTTAAAAACACTGATAGTTTTTTTACTATTTTACACAAGAATTAAGGGATTCATAAGATTTATTTAGGTATGCATACTTAATGCTCCCCAATATTTGGGGGAACGAGAAATGGAACTAAGGCGCACGGATCAATGGAGCCCTTTTACTCTTTTTCAACGTGTTCGCAGGGTGAAGTACAAACGGCGTTACATTACGAAATTTGGTGAGTCGAGAAGAGTTTTAAAATGAACATAGTTCCAAAATAACATCTTACAAATGTTAAAAAAAAAGAGAAAAAAAAATGGTTGGAACTTCTAGTGGGTTAGCGGCGGGAATCGATAGTAGTTTTCTGAAGGGAAACAGATTCAGTATTATTCATATTGGCTTCACAGCGTCATACTTGACGAGAACTGTTGTAGAAGTAACTAATTATTACTAGGATTCTTCGTGTTTTAGAAAAGCAGTGTAGTATTTAAATATAGCCAGAAAACAGCGAAAGAAAAAACTGAGTAAATTAAGTTTGCAGATGAAAAACCAATGGAACAACAATATCTGCAGAAACAACTTTCAGTGATCTAGTTAAGTGCAAGTTGAAATCGATGATTTGCATGTCTTGTGGTTTTGCCGTTTGAGCCCCTCTTAGAAACACAGCTCGCTTCGGACAGGCAATTTAACGGTTAGTTTATCAGGAGTTCAAGAAGCACGTAGGGATATGGTTGTGTTGCCCAAGATTGTGGTTAAAATAGTAGGTTTTCCGCTTATTTTCGAGCGAAAAACATCAACATTGTAATGATTACCGATCAGAGAACATTATAATCAGTTCAAAGCGTCCAGTCAGAAAAAAGGGAGCGAAATAGTAAACTTTGTGATAGACCTAGAGGAAGAAGAGAATTAATGGGACACTGTTTTTAGTAAAAGTACGCAAAATTATTTAGATGCTATTGGATAGCTGTTATACATAAGAATATTTAATTTTCGTAGAGCTCAGCATGAGTGAGAAATGCATGGAAGTTTGTTCCACTGAGTTACAATATTAATATTTAGAAGAAATTGTGATTGGTTATTTGATAAGTAAAAAAAAACAAGCAAACAAAAAAAAACCAAACAAAAAACAAACAAAACAAAATACAAAATTAAAAAAAGAAATACAAAGTATATTATAGAAATAAAAATTAGTGTATTGATTATGATCTGAATTATTTAACACTTGAAGCCACTTCACTAAGGAGAGAAAAATTTAAGTACCTGGTGTTTTAGAAACGTTGTAGTCGTAGATTAGAATTATGGATCCATGTAAGTCTCCGAGAAACTGCGCACCTACCCCTCCCTTACCCCAACAACAGTCAACTGATAACAAGTTAGGGTTTATGTTGGGTTAGGGGAGGGGTGAGTGCACAGTTGCTGTGATACTGACATTGGTCCAGAGATATAAGATACTCAATATTAATTACAAGTGTGATACGTCGTATAAATTGCTGCATCTTTCCCACGGAAAACGAGCCTTATCATTAGCGAATGGGCGAGATATGTATAGTCGTTTGTTGACAAGTAAGTTTATATTTTACAAGAAAAGGAGTGCTTCGTCACAGTGCATATGATGTAAGAATATTTGATTGCTAAAGAAAAAAGGTTAAAATGATTTATTCAAGAAGAGAACTGTTATTAAAATTACACTTATTTTATTAAATTAAGTAAATATTTTTGGTAATTAAACTTTTTCAATTTGTATGATCTTTTAATGGCAGTATTTTACTGAGGCTTTGTTGTAAGAAAAATAAAAAACTTTCAGTCTTTAGAATCTCCTTGTCATATTATTTCACGGTGTCAAGTAAGGCGTCTTACAATGCGAGGTTCACGGTGACTTAACGGTTAGCTCTTCGTGCAAAGTGTTAAGCGGAATAGGACTGGCACGAACACTATCTGAGCGCTTCTAGTGCGTTATGAAGTCGGCAAAATTTTTCGCGCCAGGAGTCCGGATCGAAAGCACTAGGTTCGAGGTCTGGCCAGATCGCCACAAGTCACTATCCTCACAGTGCCTTGCCTCTTTCGGAGTGTCAGGGAAATCTGCATATCTGACAGAATGCTGGGGGCTGACTTGCGCTCGGCATGCGTGCGTTCGTAGACCATAGAAGGCTTTTCATTCGTTCACCTTTACAGGTAGTTCCTCGGGATGATTTCCATTCGCGGCATGAGTGTATCAACGCCCTCTAAGAAGGTTTGAGGCCTTAAGCAAAGCGAGCCAGTGATAGGTCTGCGGTCGCACTGATGACAATGAGGGCCTGCTCGCAAGCTAACCAACCGCCAACGGCCTTTGTAAAAGTAGAAACTGAAACAACTACAGGAAAAGTATTATGGTTGCTCTTTTTCTTCTCTTCGTTTCGGTTATGTTTATATCTTCATTTCCCTGATAAAATACCCTTGATGTCAACAACTTTGTTTCAAAACTTTTATTACAATTGTCTTTTGGGTAAGACTTTCAACCTTGTAACTCAACAAATATGACTTCAGCAAAGGGAAAATGTCCAATGCTGCAAGCCTCACAGCCGGATGCTCAAAAATTTAAAGACAGATCAGTAGAAATCAGCCTTGATTATTGATCATAGTTTTTCATCCATTTCATAAAATTTCAATTACATAAAATACCAAGACTGCAAACAGTCCCTACTTTTTCGGCGCCCGTGTAAAAATAAAAATAAACAAAACAAAAAAAAAAGATGGATGTTAGCGAGCCGCGCAGAACTCTGGGAGTGAGCACACAGAAAGTCGGGTCCTTACGTACACCTCGCTCCGTGAATTCCGCGCGGCGAGCTGAAATATCTTTCATTATTATTTTTTTTTCAAGTGAGTTTCTTGGACTCTTCCGACGGACTTCGCCGAAAAGGAGGGCTGCTCGTAATCTTACAAGTCGAACCAGGGTCTTTCTGTCGATCGTCGTCGTCTTATCATCAAAGAGCACAGATACTTTACAGAGCAGAGGTTACTGACGATGCCCATAAGAACTCTTACTACCGTCTGTTTGGCCTCCTAGTAAGCTCGAGTGTTTGGGTTCCCCCCTTACAGCCTCTTTTTCGGGTACAGCCACCATCGGCAGCCACTCATGGTAATAGTTATTCAAACCCCTGCAGGGAGGCAAAGCAACAAGAAGGAAAATTCTTCAAGAAAGTTTCTTCTTTGAGATTCTCTTGGTGTTACTGTAGGTGTGGTCACGTTGAACGAGCTCAAGATTTGGAAGAAAATCATCCTTGTTCCATTGCGTCTCGACAGATACCATAGAGGGTTTTATTTCCCTTGCAAGCTCTTCTTCAGTTTGGCACGATGTTTCTGAAGTGCTAGGTTTGTTTTGCCGATTAATGTTGTGTCCAAAGTTCATGTTCACACGTGTCCCTTCTTTACACTTGATCAGAACAATCATCCACTTTTCCGTTTGCCCCTGAGTTGTGTTCACGTTATAAGTGATCATGGTACCGTTGGGTTCTTGTCCGTTGCAAATACTGGGTAATGCGAACACATCTTGGGTACCTGTTGGATGTTTTTGGTGGCTAGTACAAACGTCATTCTCGGTTTCTGTTCGGGCTTGCTCATTAACGGTGCTTAAGTCGCTCTCGGTGTCAGTTCCGATCTGCTTGTGGCTAATACCTACGTCATTCTCGCAAATTGTTCGAGTTTGATCGTTATTAGTGCAAGTATCGTTGTTGTAAGCTCGAGCAAACTCAGGCAGAAGAGACTGAATGCTAAATTCACCGTCTATATCTTCCAACTTCATCGGGGATTCGCGCTTCACAACTTGTGTGTTCAGTGGTGCTGATGGCTTCATGTAAAAATGTGGTCCGAGTAATTCTTTCAAAATCTATTAAAAAAAGGAAAGAAGAACGATTGTACAAGTGAATGAGCGAGTGAGTGAAGTCACACAAATGTTCTTCTTCAGTTTGTCATCAATTACTGGTATCAATCTATTAACAACTATCTTAGAAACACCTATTGATTTCTATCAATTATTTGGTTTGAGCAATTACGTTTGACAGGAATACAAACATAAAAATTGTACAAATTCCTGATGCTAAGTTTGACATTAATTACAAGTATGTCATAAACATTTCCTTTTTCAAACGATCATTTAGCTGATATATAATGGTAATAATAATAATAATAATAATAATAATAATAGAAATGATACTAGTAATAATATTTATAATAATAATAATAGTGTATAACACAGAAGTTACTAGAGCTTTTGGATCATGCTGATTGGCTAGTTTGGAAGTGAATAGCAAGTACTATTCACCTTCAGTAGCCAATAAGAAAAAATCACATGTCAAGAGTAATTTCAAATCATTTTTCAGTGCATTGAAAGAAATGCTGGTATCTGGTATCTGAGTGGTATATACTAAAACAATTATTTCCCTCTGTCAGTGTTGGTGAAAGAGCTGAATATTTAACTCCACTTTGAAGAGTAATTGTTAATTATGCCAATATAATAATAATAACAATGGTGTTTACAATCATTATTAGTAACATCATTGTTGTTATTGCTTTGTTGTATGTCCCATGATGTATGGCAGTTCATCTTTAAGTAAAATTCAAGGTTATAATCGATAAAAAAAATGATAGCTAAAACCTTTAGCCTTTTCAACCCTACAGTACTTGTAAGAAAGACAAACAACTAATTCCTTTTTAACCCTTTAACTCCCAAGATCTGATAGTCAATTCTCCCCAGCAGCTACAACATATTTCCTTTTAAATAAGTAACAAGAATTTGGTGTTAGATCAAGACAACAAATTCTACTTGATATGTTTGAGTATTCTCATTACCAGTTTGCTGGACATTGTATGGATATTGTGAGGAGAAAGTTTGATGTGAATCACTTCAGGGAGTTAAAGGGTTAAGTAACATCGCTGAACTAAGATCATGAGAAGAAAGGAAACAATTGTCAATGGAAGAAGCTAATTCTCCATGTCTGTACTAAGGGAAGTGTACAGTAAAGGGTTGAAGAGAAAATTTTCTAGGAAAAAAACTAGGAATAACAAAACAGGACCCGTTACCTCATCTTTTTCCTTTCTCTTTTTTCGCTCTTCACTAACAACTCTTTTCTTGACGTTGGACCTAAAATTGTTATGACTGAATAATGTGGGAACTGATCCTTCTAACAGTGGTGGTTTTGGCCTTTGATCCATTAGCTCTGCCTGTGGAGCGAAAAACAACAATAACAACAAAAAAAGTCAGAAGATGGCTTGTCTGTCAAAGGCTTCATGCCTACGCAAGCTGTTATAAGAAAATCAGTCTAGCAGCTGCACTTTGAAGCCCTATTTTTAACTATTGGATAAATACCACCCTCAAATAATTATGCTACCTTGAATTAAGTGTTGTAGATGGGAGGAAAATTACATATGAAAGCCACTGAGGGGCAATAAGAAATAAGCAAAAATTATATGTAGTTGGGGATCATAGCTCACAAGTTGTTAAGCAAGAGTCTTGATGGAGCTTGAAGATTTATATATACATGCAGGCAATAAATTTAGAATTCAATCTATTCTGCGTGGTTTTGCTTGTACTTACAACAAAAATACTTAAAATGCTAGGAATGGGCAAAATCAATCTAGTACTTGAGAGGCTTTTTGCCTGACCCTAATCCTGTGTCTCCATAAAAAAATAACAGCATTTGTTTGTTTGTTTGTTTTTTTTTTTTTTTTTATTTTTCTACATATTTTTTTCTGTTTTTAAACATGTTTTGCTCTTTTCTTAATCTTAATTCTGGAGATCCCAGACACCTTTGCACAAACACAAGGATCCGGTAACCTGCCACTTATTCATTGGAGAGCTGCATGTGAAATATGCATTCAAAATCAATTAACACTTTTCAAGAAGTTGTCGTTATACATATGAAGGTTTCTCTCCATTGCAAGGTTACCTCTCACCAACTCACCCTCATCAAATATAACAAAGTCTAGCTCATCTGAACCAGTTTGCTACCAAATCTTTCAAAATATGGTTCATATCTAGCAATTTCATGATATACTTAGGTCACGTCACGAATTGACGATAAAGTGGAGCGATCTGACTTGGAAAGAACAGCCCATGGAACAAGGTAAACGAGCTCAATTCTGCGTACCTTTATGTCCCTACCAAAGCACTCAGGTTCGAAATGATCCGAGCAAACGTAGCTTCTGTCCAAACGTAAAGGAAGCCTTGTCCTCCTCAAGTTCACCAACCATTTTTGCAAAAGCTCTTTGTCTTCGAGGGATAATCTGTAAAAGGAAACCCACCGTTTTCTTCTCGACGTGCTAATGTTGGTGCAACCAGTTGCAATACACGCCGAGGGCATTTTAGAAAAGGTATAAGAATTCGAATTTTACATTAGGGAAAAATAGCGTCGAACGTTTAACAACATAGCGCCTTAATTTGCCGCACAAAAGAGGTTAACATGACGTCATTAAACTCGCTCCCAGGTTTTTAAAAAAATGGCGGCCCGCAGTATTGACCAGTAAATATTCATCGTCAGGTGGGGAGAGGATTTTAGCAGGGGGGGGTGGGGGGTACATTTGGTATCACCCAAAAATATTAACGTGGAACTATTACAGAAACTTGACTGTCAGTTAACTGCCAATGTAGGGGGAATCATTAGAAAGTCACAGAGCTTTTAGGGAGTCAGGTAAACTACTTGACTCAACAAAAATTTTCCAGCCCCCGCTCCCGCTCCCCCTGTCCGCTCGATGAACAATAAACGATCCCTGAAAAGGGAAAAAAAATCTGCTATTTAATAGAAAGCTATTATCTTTAGAATTCGTATTTATTAATATGTTTAATAATAATAATTATTATATTTTTTAAAAAGCAGACTGAACAAACAGAAGTTGTGTAACTGATAAGTCTACCTGACCCTCCCAGGGTAAGTAAGATTTTATTTCTAATATGTATTTACTTTGTTCAGCGGTAACTGCCAATGCAAATTATCACTCCATTTACTTAACAATGAATGAAATACGTTCACTGGGAACCCAAACAACCTTCAATAATGCAACTGTCTCCATCTGCTATCAGCTAACGGACTGTTATCGTTTTAAATTAATCTCACGGCGAAAATGCATAGGGTATTATACGGGATTATTCTTTGTGTGGTAACTGGTTGTTGGATAACAAATGTATCGCACGTGGCCGGAACACTCTCGAAGAAAGACAAGAAAAATAAGAAAGGCTCCGAGCCTAGCCGAGCGGTAAGTGAAGTTTTGTTATTGTTTAAGTGAAGCTACACTAAATGAAATAGATCCATGGGCGATCTCTTCTTCTAGAATCGAAATGGACCTGATAAAACAACATGGATATTCGAATCAGAGAGGTATTTCTGTCGTGAACAATTTTGCGTGCCCTGTATGAGTTGCAGACTGATAATCTTAAAACATTTTGTGTATGCATTAGGGGCTAACTTCAGAGTTAATGTTTTATTTATTATTTAAATTGTGTTCTTGATCTGGCTGAATATGGAATCGGCCCATCTTAATAAGGGACGTAAGAGTGAATTCTGAAAGATTCATCCGGATTTTTCTTATTTTTTTTGTTATCTTTAAATTTTATTTGGTGAAATAAAATTGAAGTTACTGGTATTAGCGTGGTGATACTCAAACCAAACTAAATCAAGTGTTAATTAATGCAAAGTAAGTGAAACGAAAACTGTTAAAGTTTCACATAACAGCTGCAGCATGTTTTTAAATAAAAACGTTGAAATTTATTATTCAAGATCTGTAATTACTCTCTGAGAACCAGCCAGTTCAAATTCTGCTTTAACACAAAATAAAAAGCCAGATCAGTAAATTCCCTCACTAAGTCTTATTTCAATTAAAAAAAAAAGTGCACTCTTCACTTCACAATGTCTGATCTGAATTTCTTCTATTAGCTGCCATACTTTTCCTTGTCAACCTTTTCACTCCTAAGATCTTATATGGTAACTCGCCATACAATTATTATGATGTGAGTTTCGAGAATTTGGCATTGGATCAACTGCATGTTATAATCTCCTAACTGGTATTCACCTTTGTCCTCATCACATGACTGCTTGATATTGTCTTGATATCGGGAAGAGAAATTCTATCACGGCCACTTCTAGGAGTTTAACCCTTTAATTCCTAAGATCTCATTAGAAATTCTCCTTACTGTCTGCCATATAGTTCTTGTGAAGTTAATTTGGAGAATTTGGTATTGGATCAACTTAAAATCCCCTAATTAATATTTTTCTTTATTCTCATCACTTGTCTGCTTGATATTGTATTGATATTGTAAGGAGAAATTCTGTCTTGATCACTCATGGGAATAAGAGTTAAGAGAATTAGGATTCATATCCATGACCATCATCACCTGTTGGAAGGATGATGTATTGATACTGTCAAGAGGTATTGTACACAGCAGGGGGCAGTATACCAGACTTTATATAATATATCCTGGCGAGTCAATCTGCAGGCAAAGTAAAGATCATTGTGAGGTGATGAAAACTTAAAATGTAAAGTCACAGCTTGTTAAAAGAAAGTACTTATTAGAATGGGGTATGAAGGAGGTATTACTAATTCTTAAAAAGCCGTTACTAGTGCTGTAATAATTGGTGGGGGTTTAAATAATCACAAGTTGGTAATAAAAATTGGTTGGCACAGAGTGATTCAAGGTTGATGTTTTTAAGCATTAGCCCTTTGTTAGAGCTTATGACTTGCCCTGACAAAACAATTCTTTTCTCTCTTGACCTCTTTGTTTTTTTGTTAATTTTTTGATACCAATCGGGCATGTATTCAAAAAGATTTATTTATGGTGCTTGTAAGTGAAAAAAAAAAGAGATTTGATACCAATTTATGGGCATGTATTCAAAAAAAAAGATTTATTTATGGTGCTTGTTGAAAAAAAAAAGAGATTTAAAAAAAAAAAAGAGAGATTTATGGTGCTTGTAAGTGAAAAAAAAAGAGAGATTTATGGTGCTTGTAAGTGAAAAAAAAAGAGAGATTTATGGTGCTTGTAAGTGAAAAAAAAAAGAGAGATTTATGGTGCTTGTAAGTGAAAAAAAAAAGAGAGATTTATGGTGCTTGTATAGATAGTAAAGATATTTTACCAATGAGATTTTGAGAGTGAAAGGGTAAGCCATAAATATATTACATTATTTTTTGTATATTAATTTTTGTTTCATTTCATATTTGTTTATCAGGGACGTCCTGATTCGAATGTCACAGCACGAGGCTTAGTTGTGGAAAATCCAAGAACAAGAGATATCATTAAGTTCCACAGCTCATATTATAAAAACGTATCAGAAGTAAACTTTAATGGAGATGTCCTGGTATATGTTGCACCAGTAAGTGGAAACATGGATAATTATCAACAACTTATATCATGAAAGCGTTCTTTACAGCTAGGATACTGTTTTATCTACAGTTTTTATGTCCCATCAAACTTGGTATAAGTTGTCAATTCTGCCTCTTATAGAAGTGATTCAAGTTTTCTGAATGCTAATGTTGAAAGTTGAAAGTTTGTTTCATAGCTCTTGAAGTTTTGATTGGATTTTGTGCTTTCCCAATGATATCTCATGCAAAGTGGCAAAGTTGTTGAAAAGATAAAGGTATAAAGGAGGGAAAGTTTCTAAAGAGACTGCAGTGCTGCATCAGTTGGGGATACAACAAGATATTTTGGTTTTATCAACTGAGCTAATAAATGTAGCTCAGCCACAGTAAGGAGTTCTAAAGCTCTGGAACTCTTTATATATAAAATGCACCCTGTGTCAATTGCACTTCTTTTTCACAGCTCTCTTTTTGAACTCCTAAAGCTTATTACATGAAGGGAAAGCTAACTAGTAAATATCTAAAAATTTTCACTGATTTGACAGATCAGTCCAGTTCAGGGCTACCATTAATTGCATAGACCTCACACCAGAGACGGTACCCACCTATCCCAGGCCCTTAATCATTTACCAATTGCATGATTGTTTTTGCACAAATTGAATTTTTTCAGCAACATGAATGTCTTCCTTTTTTTTTGTGATCAAATTTTATCTCATTATCCTTTTTTCAGTGGAACTCTCATGGTTATGATGTAGCAAAAATATTTAGCCCAAAATTTACTTATGTTTCACCAGTGTGGCTCCAAGTCAAGAGAAGGTAATGTCATTGTCATTCAGAGGTCTAGGTACAGCTAGGTCAACTCTGGCACTGGTCACAATATAATATTATTGGAAATATAACAGTAAAAACTGGTAGATCAGAATCTAGGTTTTTTCAAGTTAGACTTCATAGGTTCTTAATATATAAATGGTGTTTACCGTTTTATTGTAAAACTAGGCTACCTAGGTTTTTCATCATGTTCTTAATTTTTGTGTAATAAATTTGTCAGGTTTGGGTGTAATTCTGCACTGTATGCCAGCCTCATAGTGCCATGTTTTGCATGGCTTACTTGTGCTGCACAGTTATGGATGTATTGATAGTTCAGTATTGTATTCTTACAATGCTACTGGTGTTCTGCTACAATGTACATGCAATGTACTGTATCAGATTTGAGCAAACTCTGCCTTCTAAAATAAGAACTTGTATGGAGATTTTAGCCTTCAATCCCCCCCCCCCTCCGCCCCAAAAAAAAAAGGTGTTTTAAGTGTAAGATAAATTTGAAACTTATGCCAATTTCTTTTGCTGTTGTTGTTGTTGTTGTTCAACAGGAAAACTGGTACCTTTTCTGTAGAGGGAGGCCATGACATTGATCAAGGTATTGAAGAACAGCAGAACAACAGAGAAACATACAAACCACAAACTTAAACATGTGGTGCACCTCCCTCCACATATTAAAAAATCTTTGAAGAATTCTTGAAGCAAGAATTTTGAAGATCCTGTAAGATATTTCATAAAGATATTTGCCAAGATCCTTAATAGGATCCTTGAAGGTCCTCATGAGATCTTTCAGAATCTTGAAGGATCTTTGAGAGTGGTGGTATTGTGGAAATTGATTACAAAGGGTTAATTTTTATGAAATGTCTTGCTTATTAGGAGAGATTTAGTCATAGGTGAATGTTATGTTTTGTTTACTTTCTTTAGGTTGGATGTCAGATGTTAGAAAAGGAGGAAATCATGTTAAGATTGGTAAGGAAATGAAATTTAAAGTAAGTTCTTTAACCCTTTAACTCCCATGAGTGACCAAGACAGACTTTCTCCTCACAATGTCAATTCAATATCAACCAGATAAGTAATGAGAATAAAGAAAAATATCAATTTGGGGATAATTAGTTGATCCAATACTTAATCCTCTTACCTGACATTATGAGAACTGTAAAAACAGTAAAAAGAATTACAAATTTGATCTGGGAGTTAAAGGGTTAATTTCTTTAGTCATGTGGACAAAAGCAATGGCAACATCAAGAATGAAAACAAAAAACAGCTACAACAGTAAAAACATCCATAATGTAGTCAAATAAATAAAAGAAAACAAGTTTACTTTAGTCAACTCTTAAATCCCGAAGAGTGACAAACATCTAATTTCTCCTTACAATATCACACAATGAATCACACTTTAAAGTCTTGAGAATAAAGAAAATGATCACCAACTACAGACGATCTTGGTTGTTAAATAAAATTCTCCTCTTCAGCACATTAGGAAATGTATAGAGAACAGTATGGAGAATATGCATACTGAGTTTTAGGTGTTAAGGGTGAAAAAGTAAGTTAACTTTAGTTTCATTTCTTTTCAGTTCCCAGAGTATTGTTTGACCAATGGACATTTAATGACTATCACATAATTTTTTCAAGTGACACTGCATTACAGTCCCTAATTGACACAATAGTCTCCTACCTAAAGGTTAGTGAGGAGTGCAATGCTCACAAAGAATTGTGTTTTAATGGTTGCATTGAATTAAAAGGTTTTTGTCTGTCCTTCAATGAAAACCTTCTCAGCTGCTAAAATTTATCTTTGCATTATGCTTAACATTACCTTGACATTAATATAATGTGTACTGTCCATTGAAAGAGAGTCTGCCAATAGCAACTTGTTTAGAAAAAAAAAAGACTGTCTTTTGCTTTTTTGGGGGGATGGGTGGGGGTGGGGTGAGAGGTTAAATATTTATTCAGGAAGAAAGATATCTATCTACTTTATTTTACCAAGCTAAATTAAGAATCAACAGGAACTGTAAGTTACATTAGTGTCAAAAGTGATTCAAATAATTCCAATGAATGGACATAATGATTTACATGACTGTATTCAATATTTATAGTAACAATCCAGGTACAGACATTTTTTTTTTTTTAGAATCTTTTTAGATTTTTTCTTCCTCATTCTTTCTTATTCCATTTTCTTCAGGGAAATCATTTTGATGGTCTTACTCTAGAAGTGTGGAGTCAGTATAATGGTGACACAAAAGAGTAGGTTTAATGTTTTTTTTTGACTGGTATGTTTATTAATTGTTTGGATCTTCTGCCTCTCTGTTCTTCAGACATTCTGTCTATTTGTGAGCAATTCAGTCATTTATATGTTCAGTCAGGCAGCCACTCAGAATTTGTTTATCACTCACTTTAACCTGTCAATCAATCAGTTTGAAGTCGGGCAGTCAGACATTTAATCAGGCAGTCATTCCATGAGTCATTTTATGTTCAGTCACTGTTAGTCAGTCAGTTATTTTATGTTCAGTATCTGTCAGTCAGTCAGTCAGTCATTTTATGTTCAGTCACTGTCAGTCAGTCAGTGAGTCATTTATGTTCAGTTATTGTCAGTCAGTGAGTGAGTTATTTTATGTTCAGTCACTCAGTCAGTCAGTGAGTCATTTATGTTCCTCATCATCTGTCTGTCAGTCAGTCAGTCAGTGAGTCATTTATGTTCCTCATCATCTGTCTGTCAGTGAGTCATTTATGTTTTTCGTTTGTCTGTCAGTGAGTCATTTTATGTTCAGTATCTGTCAGTCAGTGAGTCATTTTATGTTCAGTATCTGTCAGTCAGTCGGTTAGTCATTTTATGTTCAGTATCTGTCTGTCAGTCAGTCAGTCAGTCATTTTATGTTCAGTATCTGTCTGTCAGTCAGTCAGTCAGTCAGTCATTTTATGTTCAGTATCTCTTAGTCAGTCAGTCAGTCAGTTAGTCAATTACTTAATTAGACAGAAAGACACAGAAAGAAACTCTCAGATCAACAAATTAACCAAATTAGACAGACAAAAAGACACACAGACAAAAAGATGGTTTTCTGTCCATCAGTCAGTCACTTAGTACTTAAGAAAAGACAAGCTTCCCTGACAAAACATCATTGTTAACTAAACAAGACGCCTAGAGGCTTTAACATGGGCTGCGTGAGTCGTTATCAACAGTCACTCTGGTTTTACGGGTGAAAATATGGATTTGATGTTGAATCTTCAAAGTGTAGGAATGAAATCGAAAAATAAAGACAAAACAACTCGGGATATTATGTGTGGTCACCCATCCAAAATAATAGTAATCTCAGCCATCAGGGACTAATTTCCATGTCTGACTACGACGACACTCACCCGAAATTTCAACGTGGTCTGCCACAGGCATCCCACGTAACTAACAGTTAAAACCCTAGTGTAACGGAAAATGTATATTTCTCCATGACCTGTACCTACGTGTATGTCTTTCAGGGACTTGTATCTTCTGGTCAGTAAAATGGCTGATTCTCTTCATAAAGAAAAGCTCAAGATAATTTTGGTAATACCGCCTCCCTTTTATGCCGGGTAAGCTCCAATCCAAATTCAGTTGAACGGATTATTACGGCAATTGGTTGATTGATGAAACAAGAGAAGATTAGGGAAAAACCCGACTCATTGTTATCATCATTATTGATATCATTACCATGAATACTACCACTGTCATTATGGTAATCAAATTTATCATCACCATTAGCCTTATGATTTAAAATTTAGTGCAAAATGACTAACATGAAACACGTATGATTCCGTGTAACTCTGAATTTCGTGCTTACGCACTCGTCAGAGAGATTTTCTTGTTTGTTTTTTTTCAAAATCTGTCTGACGAGCGCGTAAGAGTTACAGGGAATCATGCGTGTTTCATTTTAGTCATTTTGAACTGTATTTCGCTCTACACTCATGTGTATTGAGCACTTTCCAACAGCATTTGCTACAATTTTCCACAATGATTTATTATTTATTCATTTATTAGCGATAGTTGACACTGACATTACCACTGTCATTATGGTAGTCGTTAACATTGTCATTTACATTAACATTCATATTTATTCATCTATTTATGTATTTATTCATTTATTTATTCAACTATTGATTTATTTTGCGGTAATTTTTGCATTGTATCGCTTCTTTTATTTTGTTTTCCTTTCAGGAAGAAGCCAGGCTCGTTTGATAAAAATGACTTTGAATTATTAGCGCCAGTCCTGGATGGTTTTAGTCTGATGACTTATGATTACTCTTCTCAAGGGAGGTGAGTAATTGTTTCCGCTGTGCATAGCTTTATTAGACTAGAAGCCGTCCTTCCTTTAGGACGAAGTCTGCGCCACGTGAGCCATTTTTTTGTTCTTTGTTCTTACCACTTTTCGTCATCTGTGATATATTACTGAGAGACCCAAGGTAACATAATAAATTCGTCAAATACAATTATTTTTAACCTGCCCTATTGCTTTCTATGTAGGCCGGGTCCTAATGCCCCTTTACAATGGATGAAAGACTGTGTGCTAACGTTGAGTCCAGAGAAAGGAAAGCAGCGATCGAAAATTCTAATGGGCCTCAACTTCTACGGCCAGGAATTTGCAGCGACGGGAAGTGGACGTAAGTCGAAACAAGAAAAGGATAAATTAAAACACTCGAAATGTGCGCCAGAGACGAAATGATTTTCATCCTTGCCAAAAATATGAAAATATGTTTGAAATGGTGGGACTGACCGGACTTTAGATGTAACGAGTAAACTTATCTTCGAAAGTTGTCCTCAAATGTGCTTAAAAATTCGATAATTGTGAAGAAAAACTCCCTAAAAAAACTTGTCTGTCGACTTACAGCTGAACATCGGCTAACAGTTTCAAGGCACACCTAATGGCCCACTAGCGGCCGATAGCAGAATCATTGTGTTGTGTTTTTGGGCAAGACACTTTAATTTCTCAGTCCGTCTCTCCACTCAGGAGTATAAATGGGTACTGGCGAATTGTACAAACAATGTTCAAGTTCCAATTTTTGCTGATTCTTCTCTTTTATTTTTTTTTCTCTTTTTTTCCAAATACTTTTTTAGGATGGTTTCCACAACAAAGCTATTTTTAGGATCAAGGTCCATATAAATTTATATAAAATAAAATAAATTTTAAAAATTGTTTTTATTTATTTTTAGATGCTTTATTTTTAAAAATAAAATTTAAATCGATGCATTTATGTGAAAAAAGATATAATTTTCAAAAGAGAGCAATTTTCAACGAGTGTCCCACGTGGGTTCACTTTACTTTATCACGTGGTAGGTCAAGTTATCTCAGGCTGCCAATTATGCGTCGATCAATTCGAAGCTTATTCCCACCCCTCCCCAGACATTTGAACTTTTAAAATTTTTTTTTTCCGTTAAGGCGACGTCGGTGACCGTAACTTTCTACGCGTTAACTAAGTTTTAAAACCTACACCTTGTAGACCTTTTCTTCTGTGCCATTTGCTCCCAAAAGTGAACTATAACCCCTTCCCCTCCCCCCCTCCATATTTAAAGATGTACTGTAACGTTTTACTCCGCTGGAAAGACTTTACACCACTGGTCCAAATTCCCCACCCTCACCAGGCAAGGTTCAGGTTTCCCACCCCCCCGGGCCTGGACGAGGGTCAAATGACGCGGCTTGACCTGGGAGGTGGGGGTGGGGGAGGGGATGTTGATGCTTCGATTGATCGGTGATTTAGATGCAGGACTAAAACCCAATCGAATATTAGTCTCTCTTGTTTTCCCGTGCTCTAGGGAGTAAGCTTATTTCTTTCTTTGTTTCTTGTTTTGTTTCTTTGTTACTAGTTCTCTTGTGTTGACTTTTGTTCTGACGAAGGGCTAACAGACAGGAACTTACCCCCTATACACTTTTCCTTTCATAGATACATTGAGGTGTTAACAAAACACAAAACGGAAAAACTTACGTGGGAGAACGGAGTGGCGGAGCATTCTTTCGCTTTCACGTAAGTAAAGTCACCAATTTGTTCTTCGTATTCACATAATGTTGTTTAATTTGTCCTGATGAAATCCTACGGAACACGGAGAATATTGTGCGGCGGAGCGAAGGTATAAATTTTATTTTCGAGTGGTAAGAACAAAATTTCTCGATCGAACACGGCGGGTGAATAAACGTTCCCTTTAAAGCGGTAATTCGAATCTTCAAGCCAGAATTTCTTTAGTTAAAATAGAATAGAAAAGAGGCGCAAGTTTTCTGGCGAATTTTACTTCAGGGACTATTCTTTCTTCTCGTTTTGCAAGGTACTCGTCGGAAAAATTTATCGTCATGTGATGGTTTCCTTTTTGTAAAGTCATTTGCTTGCTGAAGGGGATGATTTTACTTCAGCTTTAGAACTCGCCAGGTTTTGCTGACAGTTCTCAAGAATAAACGTGCAAAAAGGGGAAAAGACGTCATTACGCGTTCATGATTTTAAGTTAAAATCACAAAGTATTCTCTCGAGAGGCTTTCTTCGTACTTGATACTTCGGTGAACTTCGTTACTATTCGGTTAACAAGTTTGGAGGAGATCGTTATTTTGGTCGGTGAGTTTACTGCGATACTCGGGAACGAAACCACCGAGTGTTGCCGTACGGAATCATTGTGGAGAGTGAGATCTTAAATGGCCTTCCAAATAAAAAATTACTCACTCTTAAACTTCCAACGTCATATTTTACAGTGCTGCTGGTACCCACCACTCTGTGTTTTACCCAACGCTTAAGGTGAGAGATTGTTGTTGGTGTTTGAACCTACGACTTACTTCTCAGCTTCATGACTCGTGCCGACGGCAAATTTCTTTAAGCTACACTGAAATAGATTTTAGAGAAAATTTGTGTGGCACAATGTGATGTCATTCATTGAATGACACGGGCCTAAACGGAAATAGAAGACTCTCGAGTGCTCCCGATGGGAGTCGAACCTACGACCTTTCGATTATTACTTCGGATTCTCTAGAAAACCTATGATAGGCTATGCTGTTTAAGTAAGTCCATGGTGACGAACCTCTTGCATACTGCTAGGATAGGAATGTCGGTATGTGATGCTATTGTGCAGTGGTGATATCCATTAAGATCATTTAAGCCTGAACTTCCTAATATAGGAATATCGATATTTGATGCTTTTGCGCAGTGATGATATCCATAAAGATGATTTAAGCCTGGGTGGTGTTTTCTGGCTTTTTACTTGGTGTAGAAGACACAGTTGACGTAAGGCAATAGAAAGCAAAAAGACAAAGAACGTGACGTGAAGAGTCGCGTGTCTTCTACAACAAGAAGGAGTCTGTTTTTGAGTTTATTTAACATACCACAAATGAGTTCCGTTTCATTTCCTTGTGTCTTAGTCTATTCAAGTGCGACTGGATCTCGCCAAGGAACTTGAAGTTGGAATCTCCATCTGGGAGATCGGACAAGGGCTGGACTATTTTTACGATTTATTCTGAAGGCTTATGTTTATTTCATTACATTTTAAGCACCTGTGAACAATATAACAGCAACAAAAATGTAATAAATTATTCATATTAGACGTGTGGGTTTGTTTATTTGTTTTTCAAATTTTTTTGCGATTTCTAGACGATATTTAAGCGATACTTTAATTAGAATGATGCATCCAGGGCTATTGCGAGCCGCGACGTATGTTGTCGTTTCCTTGATGAGATCTTCGCAAATGATTGTTTTCTTTGAGGGACATATCGTTTCAGTTCAATAATTTGTCGCTGCAGCTCAGCGATATGTCGGTTTACGTACAGCGTAGTGACCGTTTGCGTGCACAAACGCATCCTTCGACTAAATGTCACCGTATTTCCACTTCAACGTTCATTTCAGGCGTTAACGCGCGTTTTACACACGGGACAATCGCGATAGTGCAATGAAAAGTTGATCAGCCTTCAACTTTTACGACGGTTTTCGCGCTTGAAAACAAAACACATAGTATTGATTTTACGTAGCAGTGGACATTGCCTACGCACGTTTGCTTTACGTAGCTTTTACGTGAGGAAAAATTTACGCGACACCGGAAGTTCATCTTAAGATCGGCAGAATTTCTATCAGAATTACACTTCCTGTTTAGTGAGCAAAGACTGTGCATACTATTCGAATATTTTGTGACGTCAGGTAGTTTGGTCGAGTGGAAGTTGGAGGTTTTATGGTTTATCAAAGGCATGAGGGGGCACTACCCAGAGAAGCATGTTTTCGGGGAGTACATTGAAAGAAGGGGAAAGGAAGGCTTGTGAAAGAAGAACTCAGCAAGCGTACGACTAGCCTTTATTTTGGACTCCATGCCGTCTGCCTCTAAAAAAATCAATAACCTTCACCTTAAAAAAAAAAAAAAAATTGTCGTCTCATTATCTCAAAAATTGCCTGATCGCATTGTTTTCTTATTAAGTGAACCATAGCACTCTTTGTACGACAGACAGCGTACCTGAAACTTTCTTTGTGCATAACTTTTTCTTTCGTGCTCACAAAAACTTAAGTTGTGGTTAAATTTACCGAACGCGATGACAAGAATCTCAGTACTTTAATATAACACAATAATTTAAAACTACCTATGTCTCAACAGGTTTGCTTTTTTTATTGCGCGCATGCGAAGAAAACTATTCCTTCTAATTTTGTTTTAACAAGGCATGTAGCAAAGACGAAAGCGCCGATGGGATCACGCACTGATATTCCTTTTCTTTGCTCAATTTTTGCACGCACCACAAAAACTAAAAGGGTGTGCGTATACTTCATTAGAGTTGAAGACATAAGTTTAGGACTTTCAAATTACCCGCCTTTTCACAAGACAATCAAAGTGCTAAAAATAGCACAGTGTTTATTTCAGCTCTTTCAAAACCGCTTAATTAATTCATTCCAGTTGTGCGTGTTCATTCCTTTGGGTTTAGCAAGTGTTTCTTCCATTTGCTTCACGGCTTGCTCGATCAGTAGGGTTCAGAAAAGCAATGAGGATACAAATAGAATTTGGAATGAACTCTTTTTACCCTAAAAACATCATTATGTATATTTTTCGCATTTTTCTCTGCACATTTCCCTTGCTATTAACAAGGAAAATTTCCAAAGCGATCAAGAACGAATCATTTCCTTTAGCCTCGTTACGTTAACTTTGATTCACAGGTGACATAAATGGCAGTCACAGTTCAGAGTTAAAGGGTCAAAGGACACGATGGAGTCAGACATTGATGTCAAAGTTCGCGAGCCACTTAAAACAAAAGAGATAGATAACAATTCCACACAAGAAAACAGTTTTAATATATTTCATGGAGCTTCCTCAATGATCTTTACACATTTCGTCTAATAAACAATGGGCAATCCATACGATTGCAATATTTTAAAATTTAAATACATAATTTTTCACTTGTTTCCTTTATAAAGAACGTCTCTTTAACAGTAATAATAAAGATGATTCTCCGAACTTCTTTCAAAGAAACTTGGATAGTTTTTCTTTTATAAAAACTGAAACTAGTATGCTGGATGTTCTGCCAACAAACATAAAATGAAACGATGGACCTAAACTACCTCTGATTTGAAGACCGGAGAAATGTTTTCTTTGAAAGAAGCTCGCTGATCTCAAAATTTAACTTAACATTAACGAATAAATATTTGGAATTATTTTGAACAATGTTCGACGAGAACATCTATTAATTGATTAACCTGATAAATAACGCAATATGGAAAAATATATTCTCTCTTGATAAACACTTTGTACATTCTCGGTCCAGTTTTCCCAGCGGGCTAGCCGCCATATTACCCGGCATGCCTAGCATGACACTGTGGTTGGGCTGTATGATAATTTATTAATAAGAAAGGCGTACGTAACTTATCACAACGAAACCAGGAGGAATGTGTCATGGAACAGAAAAACTGATGATCTGAGCATTTTGTTTTTGGTGTATAATACGAGTGTCGTAAAACCGAACTAAAGTAATTGCAGCGGCCTATCAGAAGAAAGGTACATACTTTTAAGAACCATTGACAATTCATGTTGAATAGTAGTGGATATTTACCGAGCCACGAAGCCACGAAGCAACGAGGTAAATATCCACCACATTCACCGACACTGAGGTGAATAATTGTTTTAGTATAAACCACACAAAAACCAAAAATAATGGTTCATTTCTGTCAAAAAATGGTCGGAAATTCAGGTTTTGACACACGATTTTGTCTCCGTGGGTGCTCAAAGATAAATAGTACTTGCTAATCACTTCCAAACCAGCCAATCAATGCGCAATAAAATCACTATTCACCTGTGAGATATATACTGATTAGCTACGAGCTCGGAACATCAATTTAACCCTCTTTTGCATTCCACCTGATTTATCTGTTGGCGTATGGATCAGAAGTCGAGTTTCTACTTTTCAGCCAATAGGAAAAATTCTCTTTAAATCAGATAAAGGCTTCCCTACTTTTATCTTCAGTAAAGTTTATTCCCAATTTCTTCAGTCTCAGCGGTTATTTTTTAATAAAACGTTTACTCAGTTTGTTCTGGTTTATGATAACTGTTCAACTACTTTTATACAGCAAAGCAAAAGTGAAAATGGCTTATCAGATAGACAAAACAAGCTTAATAGACTTACTCAAGCATCAGTGGGAGCGTAAAGATAATACTTTCGTAAGGATATCAGCGTCAAGCACAGTTATGGCAAGAACCAACTGGATTCCTGCAGTTCTTTTTCTCTCAATGAAGAACTCGCTACAAATCTATTTATTCCTCATGTTTTACGCCTAATTTAAAGCTTAAAGGAAGCCTTATTGGGCAGTTGCATATTTCTGTGTTACTTTTACAAAGCCACAGAATAGAGCGTAGCCCTCAGCGCGCGCGCAGCGAGGCACTAAATCTATTATATTCGGCAACACTTATTTTAAGTCCTCTAATGAAAAATTAGGTGCAATCGACAATGTACATGTTGCTCTGACGCGCACAATTACACGGGTGAAGTCATGATAACTGGCTACTATGTTACCGAGAAAACAAAGGTTTTCGTTTGTTAAACACTTGCATTTCATCGAAGGCAAGAGCGACAAAAAAAATAGTATATTAGGATATGCATATATTGTTGGTTCGACAAGTCGCCAAAGCAGTTTCAGCTGCTATGATGAGTTTAAAATATTTGAAGAAAAAAGTTAAAAAGGTAGATGCAACAGTATTTTGACTTCAACCTCAACATTCTCATCTTTTTATAGGAAAATGTTGTATATATGGTTTGTGGAAAATGATTGCGCTATTGTGACACATTGCAATTATTGCCAATCGTGCTCCTAATTGGCTGAAAGCATTTCGGGTTCAATAACCAATTTTTTTAGCATGCATATCTGGCTTTATAATTTTTGCTTTTAGAGAAGCCGAAAATTTATTAATCGAGTCTAGGAAAAATAAAATTCATTTCGGAATGATTGTTGATATTTCGATCGATATCGTTTATGTGACTTTTGAGTACGTGAAATACGTTCAATTCAAATTATAGTTACTAAAAGGCAGGTGAGGACATGAATAAGAAAAGACTGCAAGCATGTGCACGGCTAAACACGACGGGTAATGTTGACAGGTCCTTGAATTTTAAGGATATCAGCTAGCGACAAGTAACTCGTGACTGGTATGTTAGTGGTATTGCATGTAAAGACACTCTACAGTAAAAGTGTTTCTAAATACTGACTATATCATACAATGAACGCTTACCTTTCGGTGAAAATAAATGAGATAAGAGTAAATACCTTTTCTTGTTAAATACAAGCGTAAACCATATCTCCGAATTCGTTGGAATACAATATTCCGGTGTCAAAAAATGTTTTTGAAAAATATATTGATCTTTCTCCTTGTCATAAACAAAAGCATTGACCTCTTACGAAGTAACAATGACATCTCACGTGCTTGACAAAATTTCAGGATACATAAACGGATGGATGCGCATTTTCTCCAAAACGCATGTCGAGGGGCTTAGAACCCTCTAAAAGGCAACGCCATTAATTTTGCCTTGTTTTTAATCGCTCTTTTCCTGCGTGTTTGCTCACCCATGAGTTATGGTATCAAGGGAGGCTATTCCAGACGGTCTTAATGGCAGGAACGTGGCTGGTGCCATAATCTTCATGATTGGCTGTGTAAATTCGGTCGCCATTGGTCGAGAGAACTGCATGGCTTGGATGCCATTGGTCAAAGGATTTGCCATTGTAAGAGAGTGATTTCTTGGCGTTGCCGTAGTTATGGGTGCAAAAACCGATGTGCATACAGTGGTTGAGTTAGCAGAATTGTTCTGAAGATCTGGTCTGGGTGTGTTGGTTATCTGAAAGGCAATCTGTGGTGCAAAGGAATCTTGTTTGTTTATGCCATTTGTTTGGGTCATTCCGTTGGAATTATTTGAATCCGGTAGACACACCATGGGGTAGGGAGGCGACCAGTGGACATTCTCTGTGTGGCCGTTAATCCCGTTTTGTCCGAGTGACCTATCCTGGTCCA